CCAAAATTTGAACCCAGCCTGGGCAGCTTAGAGAGTTATGGAGACCCTGTATCAAGATAAAAATAGGGCCGGGATTTAGTTCAGTGGCACTTTGCCTGTCTCACAAGCACAAGGTCCTGAGTTCGATCCCTGGTACCAAAAAAAAGATAAAAATATAACAGGGGGCTGAGGATGTCTCAGTATGAAAGCCCTGGGTTCAAACCCAGTACCTCAAAATAATAATGATGATAATACTTCTGAAAATAACTGTGGTCGGATGTGTCCACTCTCCACTTAACATCGTGCCTTCTCCGTGCAGCTGGGTGTGACCACGAGGCCTGGGTTCCCCATCTGCGAGCCCGGGCCGGTCAGTGTGCGGCGCTGAGGCGTCAGCAGGCCTGCTGGGGTGGCGGCGACGGTTACCCCGGAGAGGCGGGCGTCAGTGTTATTGGACAGCCCGTCCAGAGCAGCCTGGGCCGCGCCCAGCAGGAGGCGGGGAGCGGGGAGGACCGGGGAGCGGCACCAGTGCCCCCCGGAGGGGTCCGAGCAGCCGCCGGGGCCTCCCGACCTCCGCCTGTGGGTGCGGCTGACGCGGTCGCGAAGGCACCCGGATGGACGGAGTCCGACCGCGCCCCCTACCCCCAGCGCTGCCGGCCGCGGTTGTCTGCTGTTCACGAGAGTCCCCGTCTGTCACCCGTGGCCGTTACAGTCGCTAAGGCAGCCCGCGGGGTTGGATGCTGGCTGCAGCTGCGTCTAGGCCACACCGCGGGCTCTTGCTGTGCGACAGTGGCAGTTTAGTGACTCAGGAGATCCCGCGTGGAGGGCTTCGTCCCGCTGTGCCTTCCCAGCTCTTGAAGACCCCCAGAGTGGGACAAAGCCCGCAGGTTGGGGGACCAGAGCCCTCTCGTCCACGCCGGGGACAGCGGGCCCGCAGGGCAGGGGCGGAGCGGGGCCGGTGGCAGCTTCCTCCAGGCAGGGACAGAGGCCGGGCTGGGCCGCGTCTCAGCCTTGAGCATCGCCGAGGCACCACCCGCAGAGGGCGCTTCCCAGGTGGCTACCTGCGTGCTGTTAAGAGCCCGCCTGCGTCTGGGTCCCGACGCCCTTGCTGCACGGCTTTCCACGCTTGGCAGGTGTGTCCGTTACTTTTTTCTCATTGCTGAGACAAAACAC